AAGACGATGCATGCAAGGCTTTAGCACATGCACGTACAGATTAATCAAAGACATGCAAGCCAACTACAGATTGCCAAGGCACTTGCATGCGCGCATGCACGTACGCACCGTCTCCTAGAGCATGCAAGGGCCGACTCCGCGCATACACGTACACCAAACAAAGGAGGTTTCGGACTGCATCTCGCCCCGGTTGGACACACCCGAGGGCTTCGTCTCTTCACGTAGATTGACTCCATCAGTCTTCGACGTCGCCCAGACTACTAACTCCGACCATCAGACCACGTCGCAATGATGATCGCCGCGAAGAACGGCTCTATGACAACCGCGACCACCGTCACAACAGGCCAAAAAGCTCGAGGACTGGACAACTTCATCGCCACCGACCAGATTTTTATCCAAAGATAAGTACACTTCTAATATTTATATTTAACACAATTTTCATTACGACGTTTCTCCACAACGTCCTTGTCATGATTATTCTTCAAATAACGTTTGTCCATGTATACAATCTTAAATATAACATACAGCTATACTTAATGCAAATCCTCGACCAGTCATGTTGACGCTCGATGTTTCTAGAAAAGACCCTTTCTCTGGCTCCTTCCTACATGTGCACGAGCGTCTGCCCTCTGCGTTATGGGTGGTCGGCAGCGGCTCCTTAGCGACACTTTGTTCTTCCTACACGTGCACGGGCTCCGCGCCCCGCGTTATGGTTAACGGGCTAGCTAGGGCCGGAGACTCAGCTACATACTAACTGGTCGGGCAGTTTATATTAAGTATAAACACAAACTTCACTTTAACACTGATATTTACAAAGCACCAACTACTTTATCACATCATGCTCATTTGCAAATGACTGTTGAGCGTCATTTTCTCCATAATTTATTATTTTGTACATCATGTACTACCATTCTACATATTTATATTGTAGTAATTTCGAGCTATGCTCGGGGACTTCGTCGCTCGCTCCTCGACCTGTGCTCGGGGACTGCCTCAACCACTCTCCGACCACAGCTCGGGGACTTCGTCGCTCGCTTCTCACGCACGGGGACTGCCTCAACCACTCTCCGACCATGGCTCGGGGACTTCGTCGCTCGCTCCTCGACCTGTGCTCGGGGACTGCCTCGACCACTCTCCGACCACAGCTCGGGGACTTCGTCGCTCGCTTCTCACGCACGGGGACTGCCTCGACCACTCTCCGACCACGGCTCGGGGATTTCGTTGCTCGTTCCTCGACTTGTGCTCGGAGACTGCCTCGACCACTCTCCGACCACGGCTAGAGGACTTCGTCGCTCGCTCCTCGACCTATGCTCGGGGACTGCTCGACCACTCTCCGACCACGGCTCGGGGACTTTGCGTCTCGACTACATGCGACTGGCGACTCGCATACAGTTGGGATATTTTTTCTCACTTAGACCTTGCTACAAGGCTCATACCTCGCCTTCCAGCAAGCTCGGGGACTACATCGGTACGATGCACCTGCCGGTGCATCTCGTATCGCCTGTACGACGATTGGATTCTCAACTTAATCGGGAATTCTTTTTTAGACCCTGGCACCACGTGCCTACGTCACCTACTACCAGGCTCGGGGACTAAGTGGGCACACTTCACCTTGCGGTGAATGTGTTTGTTTTTTGACCCCTACGCCTCTGATGATCAAAGACGCACTTACATTTCTTTTCAGAAATACAAGTGGGCACACTTCCCAAGACGGAAATCTTTTTCTTTTTTCTTAAGAGCACCATGCATTCTTCGGACAAACTACTTCTTCGGTGACAACGGTGGTCAGAGATGTCAAGAACTCAAGCCTCACTGTTCGGAGAAGGTTAAAATGGCGTGTTGCAGCATAATACATGGTGCTTGGGGACTAGTTGTGGGGGTATTAACCCCTATACCCTTATGGCTAGGCTTGGGCCGGCCCAGATCAGAGGGTCCGGTCCACCTAAAGACGACGCGTGGCCCGGCCAACCTGTTCGGAGTCCCGCACAAGGAGTCAAGATGGATTTGGCGATCAAGCAAGATCCTGGTCGGTTAGAATAGGAATCCTTATCCGGCCACCTATGACAATTGTAACTGGCTAGGATTAGTTTTTAGATCTGTAACCCTACCCCCCGGACTATATAAGGCGGGCAGAGGACCCCTCTAAAAAACACCTCTCATTGACATACAACAATACAATCAGACGCAGGATGTAGGTATTACGCCTTCTTGGCAGCCGAACCTGGATAAAACCTCGTGTTTGTCTTGCGTCACCGTCTTGTTCGTAGCTTGCGTATCTGTCTGCCGACAATCTACTACCTTGGGCATACCCCTGGGTAGAGTGCCGACCATATTTCGTCGACAGTGGGCCAGGCCAAAATTTGCCCACAAGCTCAATGTAAGGTGGGCGCAGGAGCTCAATGTAAGCGGTGCGGTGGGGCCCACTTATTTTTGGCGATAGACAGAGTGACGGTATACTTGTTTTTAGCGACAGACAATTCAACGTTAAATATCAATATCTATAGCGGCAAACAATAAATCGCTGAATGAGAAATTAGCGACAGATGATATGTGAGTTATATTTAGCGACAGATCATCCATCGATAAATATAATTTTTAGCGTCAGATGTCTGATGGTGATGCGGTGTTGTGGTGTAGTGGGATGATGCCTATCGCCTATCGGCCATGAGTGGGATTACTACCGAACTCCGGCTTTTGCTGATGACTGAATCTACGTATAGCAAAGTGTGTGTGTGCCCACGTTCATGTAATAATGTAGCAAATGCCATTGCGGCTTATGTGTGTAAGTGTTCAAGTCATATGTCAATCACTTGGGATGATGTACCTCACTTTGTTGAGGATTTGGTGACCAGCGATTCTGCTGAGTTCGATGAGTAATGAAGTTCGCGTTTCAAAAGAAAAAAAAGGTAGTTAGAGGCACATGAACTATTTAGCACCTCTCCACCAACTAAGGGCACCCACAATGGATGATTCATAAGCTAGCTCTAAGCATTTTTTCATATTTTAATAGAAGGGAGAGAAATGTTAGCTCTTGATCAAGAGCCAGGCTCATACACACATTCCTATAACAAGTGAGAGTGTCATGTAGATCTAATCATACTATGAGTTATTGCTAAAAGCTAACACTATTGAAGAGGTTGACTTAGAGCTAGTAGCTGACTTTTAGTGTTGCTGATGCCCTAATGAGCTACTAGTAGTAATTATTAGCAGCCCCACCATCAGCTAAAAGTCCTCCTAATGAAAATTAAAAGTAGCAACACATTAATTTTAGCTACTGACTATTAACACAAATAGATCCAAACAGGACCTAAAGTGCTCTTACAGAATACAAATAGATCCAAACAGGACCTAAAGTGCTCTTACAGAATACGGTTAATCACAAATTTTGTTAATATGTGATGATCCATTATTTGATTTGTGGAGAAAAATAAAAAAAGGAGTTCATCTTCCACTGTAAGGTGAGAGTTTGAGTAGAAAATCATATCACAAGCCATGATGAAATGCGAGAATTTGTTCATCTTCCACTAAAATTACAATTTTGACTCAATTCCCACCCCTTGGACGTGACTGGTGGTAGTTCGCACTACGTCCAATTTGCCCACTGCCACGTCTAAACACGGTATCACTGCCAGATCCTACAAACCTCGTATCACTGCAGGCTTCGGTTTTGGCAGTTATAGAGCCAAAAATAAATTGTGTTTTCCAGGATTTCGATCACAAAACCTCAATGTTCACGTTCTCTCGTGCGTCATACCAGCTTATGCTATTCTTTTAACTACACAATTCTAAATCTTACATTGTATATCTGACATTCTAAATAGTCTTAAATAAAAAAGTTTTCAACTGCAAGTAGATCTCGTCGAGTACAAACTTTGATGTTGAGTTTGTCTCCATTTGAAATTGTTAACCATCTCAAATTCGATCCGAAAACTTATATTGAATATTTGGACATGTAAACCATCTTAAATTTAAAAGTTGTAAACTACAAAGGTTTAAATCTCTTTGAAATCTATAATTTTGATATAAAGTTTATCTTGATCTGGCCTCATATGAAAAGTTATGTTTTTTTCGCAAAACAGTAAAAGCCTATCACCGTTGGTTCGTGGCTTCGACTAACAATGATACACTATCACTATTGGTTGCAAAACAACCAACAGTGAGTGACAATTGTGCTTGGGATTGTTTCTATCTGGACTTTGTTTCAGCCTAGAATGGACTTTAGTTTGTTTCAGCTCTTAGCTATGATCTGAAAGCTTACAAATGGGAGCCGAAGACACAACGTTTCGCACGCGTGCGTGAAGCCCAAGCCCAACTACAAACATTTTAGCAAGGTTAAGCACACAATCTCAAGCCCAACTACATTTTAGCGAGGTCCAAGCACACATCACCTCGCATTCACAAAAGGCAACAGTTTGTTTTTGCACAAGTCCCTCCGTCTCTAAAACAAGATATTTTTAGTTTGTTGTAAGACAAATCGTCATAAGTTTGATCAAATTTATTTTAAAAAAGTCATTTTTAGTTTGTTGTAAGTCAAATCGTCCTAAGTTTGATCAAATTTATTTAAAGAAGATGACTACTATGACACCAGATAGAAATACTACAAAAGTATATTTCATGATGAATCTAATAGTACTTATTTGATGTAAGAGATTGATAGTTTTTTTTTTATAAATTTAATAAAACTTAACATGATTTGACTAGGGGAAAATAGAATTGACTTTCTTTAGGAACATAGGGACTACTATAGATATGAAGTCCAAACGCAGATTTTTCAGTGCAACTGAGTCTTAGCCCATCTTTTTTTTTTCAGCTACAGTACAGTGGCAGCACATAGGTGAAAGTGAAATGGCTCCAGTCTCAACGTTAAACAGACAAGCTCGAGGGCCAACTAATGTTATTGTCAGATGTCCGTGTCACGGCCTCTTGAAAAGAGTTATAAATAGATCACTGAGCAACGAGTAATTTAAATTGGAGGTATTGGTCTATCCCAGCAAGAAGGCTCAGACCTCTTCTTCCAGCTGTGAAATGATGCTCAGAAACACCTGAAAACCCTGGGCCATGTCTGAAAACAGGCAGTATTCATTCTTCGCGTGGTATGTCTTCAGTAAGCCTGCGTGAAAGCAGTAGCAACATTAGATGGACATGTACAGTTACATTTGATGCAGGTGAAACTAGGAAAATAAATACTAGTAATCATAAAAAAGAATTTGTTTTATTGCTTATATAAGCACTCACCATATCCAGCTGTTTGAGCATCAAATCCTTCGTCCTGTAAAAGTTCGATAACGAATTTGCTTTAGTTCATGGAGATAGGGCTCAGAAAGTAAGTTTGCGCATCAATTCTCAGACCTGTAATTCCCGAATCAGAGGTAGACTCCCGGTGATGGAATATGGCTCCACGTGGCCAACTATTTCCTTGGTTGCTTTGCATAATGCATGATACCCTCGAGACTGCAGATTGCAAGCCACCCCATTCATCACATCTCCATCAAAAGTGATTTCAAGCCTATAAAAACAAATCACTGGCAGCATTAATTGCCCCTTCCACCATGATGGTTACAGCTCAAGGATAACAGAGTAATAAAAACATTAAATGCTTCACCTTCCTCGTAGATTTTCATCAGGAAGAATATATTTGGAGACAGGACCACGAGTATCAAGTATTGTCTCCAATCTCTCATTGATGTCCTCTACATATTCCTTCAACTTCTCCATGACATGAGAAGTGCTATACGATAATGGCAACTATCAATTCAACAGATCATTTCCAGCGTAGAAGAACAAGCAGAGCAGAACAATAGAAATGGGCTTACCTATAGAAAGGAGTCAACCTGTAATACACAAAAAAACAAACATATGGTCAGGAATAACTCCATGTTAGATGCTTCAAGAATATAAAAAAAAATAGAGTGGTGCCATTCTTTTTCCATCAGATTGGACTTTTAATTTGTTCACTAATAAGCACACCCTTAAGTAACTAAATGAGTTCTCTAAAGTATTTCCTTAGGGCTCTGTAAGGGATCATGCCCTGCCATGTCCCATGACAGCATAAACAGCCTACATCAAGCACAAGCTCAATTTGTCCATTTGATTTTGACTGCCACTAAAGGATTGTCAAACTAAAACAGGGCAATGATTTTACCTTACATCCCCTGAAATTGTGCATTTCCCAGGAATTTGATTAAGCCCCCCACCTGGATCTGCAAAGCACCATTTATTAGGAGTGTGATTAAACCCCCACCTGAATTTTACTAAGCCCCCCCCCCCCCCCCCCCCCCCCACACACACACACCCCTGAAGTTGTACATGATTGTTTACTTAAACATGAACAAAGTAGCAAAAATGTTCAAGTTGGCCTTACAGCTCCATTTAGTTGGCTTCATTGTAGATGGAGTAGCAAACTTATAGACCTTCTCTTTCTCGTGCGAAGGGAAGTCAGTGTAAAACCGTTTTTGGATTACCTTCAGTGCTTCCATGTTCATCTCCATTGCATTTATGGCCTAGAGGGAAAGATACATAAAAATAAGGTACACGCTTCAAAAGCAATGATGGGGCTGTCTCCAAAAAATTATGATTAAATATAACTGAAGCAATGGGTGACATAAAGGCACCTCTATTTTGAGGCCAAGATTTAAAATCTTCATCTCGGTTAGATTAGAATAGTGCAGATTAACAATCAGATATATATATGTGTAACAGATAGAATTGTACAACTGCTACAAGTGTATTTTCAAATATAGCTGAGCAACTCCTGGGAGATGACCAATTCAGCAAAGGCCACAAAAGTATAGAACACATAATAGAACTGAAGCAGCCTGACAAGTTTGAGTCAAATACCTTATGCGCAAGGCCACTGTGGAACAGCTTCCCTGTTGCCTTGAGATGCCATGGAATCATTCCACCGGTGCCAATGCACGGCTGCTTATCAGCTGTATCTATCCAAAACCTTCACAGCACAAACAACAGCCAATTAAAAGCAACACATAATCCTCACAAACAACACATTAGGTTTTTAAGGCGCAATGCTTACAGGGGTCCTGTCTTGAGCTTGTCAAGCAATCCATCCTTCACGAGGCCATCAACACCAATGCCAGTGACAGATGAGTTCTCCTCATTGGCAATAAACACAGCGATGACAGAATGCTTCAAGGGTGGCTTGACCTCACCAAGCCGCCGCATTAGCTGAGCCACCAGTGCAACATGTCCAAGACAGTCAGTTGTCCCACGTCCGCGAAGCTTGTCCTTATCCTCGCTATCAAAGGTTAGTGAGAAAGGATCAAAGTCCTGCAGAAACGTGGATAAGCAAAGAACACTGATTAGAATCAACAATCAACTATGAAGGGGCTTGAGTGGTTATAAAATCAAGTACGAAGTACATCATTGGTGAAAAAACATGACTACGAAAATAACAAAGACTAAAACGACGAAGATTTTTACAGGAAACATATATGAATCAGAAAACAAAACAAATTTAACACTCTACAAAAAGTTACAACCAAAAAAAAAAAAATCCACGCCCTTGAAAAACTGAAAACGTAAAGATTTTTACACCAACAGAGCCAATCAAATCTACCAATATATGCAAAATTCAGTACCAGCCAGGGTGCAACTGATTAGTTACAACCTACCACTGTACTGAAACACTTTGACTCATTCTACGGAAACAAAACGATGAAGCAAAGCATGCCAGTGTGAAGAAACTCCATAAATAAAAACTTTTACAATAACTCCCATTATTACCGAAACACTCCACTAATGATTACAACGCTGGAAAATTGTGCAAATTTTTTTTAGAGTTTAAGGGCATACGCCCCGGCCTTTCAATTAAAATCAAAAGACCACGAGTCATTACAATTGTGCATATTTTACATCAGTAGATACAATCACATTCAACAATATGCTGAAATTTAGCACCCGGACACGAGTGACGAACTGATGATAAGCGAAATCCCCAAAGATCACAAAATCGATAAAGGTGGATATAGGACGGCGATAGCCAAACAAAATTTAGCCGCGATTAGCAGAAAATTCAGGCGGACCTACCCACTCGCTGGCGTTGGCAGGGACGACGTCCATGTGCATGCCGACGAAGGAGACAACGCGGCCGGGGACGGTGCCGGGGTACTCGACGATGACGTTGCTCCTGCCCTCGGCGTAGCTGATCTTCCGCACGAGGAGCGGGCCGCCGCCGGTGTCCGCGGACACCGGGCGGAGCACGTCGACGACGTGCTGCGCCACGCGCTCCTCCTGAGGCCTGTGGGTCGGCGGGTCGTTCTGCAGGTGCGCGGTCTCGCCGATGAGCTTGGAGAGGAGGCCGACGAAGCCATCGCGGTCGAGGCTGCCCACGGCGTCCTTAAGCGACGCCGGTGCCGGGGATGCCATCTCAGACGGGGAAAGGATCGGACGGCGGCGGCAACGGAGTGGCGAAGTGAATCTGCTCGAGTTGGGACTTGGTTACTTGGAAGCAAGATATAGTACTTCCAACGAGTATACTACGAGGAGGGGGCCTTTCAGTTTTTTTTTTATCGGGTACACTCACACTTCACGCGCGTATATGCGTGTGCGTCTATACACACTACATTGGGAGGCACGTCGTCTTCCGTACATGGAAACCCCTAGCCTTCCCACCACGCCCTTGAGCTCCGGGCTCCTTCCCGCCGTGCCCCGAACTCAGCCGCAACATCCAACACCTAGCCTTCTCCCGACGCGGTAACTCACTACCCACTTCAGTGTGAATAAGTTTCATCCACATGAAACTCACTTTACTCGCATGAAACTTTAATCCTCTCTCTTCATCGATACTCCCTCTAGTCCAAATTGTAAGTTGTTCTTATCTTTCTAGATGCATAACTTTTACTCTGTATTTAGACATAATTGATATCTAGGTACATGATAAAAAACTAAGTATCTAGAAAATCTAGAAATAACTTACATTTTGGAACAAATGAAGTATTATACAATGTTAGCGTATTTGTTTAGTTAATAGCTTATTTAGTGCTTATGAAACTTAGTAACTTACTTTTTTTATGCTTATGAAACTCGGACACCCCAACGAAACTGACTTAGGTAGGTAAATAAATACTTTTGACAAAGGCTCTATGGTAAATACTTTTGACGAGGATATCTAAAAAATCATTACAAAACAGACAAATGTGATTTGATCCCGAGGGAGTGCGTCGCGTGCCTGTCCTGGGTAGGTCTGCGGAACTGCGGAAAACTGTGGAAGGATGAGGCGAATGGAATACCCATCCGACCCCGCCGGCTGCTTTTCATTAGACGGCCAGAGTCCTCTGTGGCTGTCTCTTTCCGCTCAGCCAGGCAAAATATTTGCAGTCCAACTTAAATTCACATTAACATCTTGCCGAGGTAGTGCTCAACTCATAAGCGCCAAAGCCGGTAATCATCACAATCACATAAACTTTCTATACAGCAATATTTAAGGGCACAATGTACCTTCACATCAGACACTACAATTGTCAAACGCTACAATGTACCAGATCTTTGGCAGCGAATGTTTGTACACTGTTATGCAAGTGAATCCATTGATCCATTTGAAGGAGAAAACAATACAAACCGAACGGGTGTATTGATCAACAAACAAGGAAAGCTACAGCCCAATATACAGGCAAAAAAATACTCCCTACTACAAACAGGGCTTGGAGGGAAGAACAGAGATCCCAGACTACAATGGAAATAAGAAACACAAAGAAAATTGTCTGGTCTGCCCTGCCCCACCCTCTGTTGAAGTACAAAGTTTCTGATATTTGTGTCACAATATACTCGCTTTATGATCATGCATGATGCCACACAGGGTGATCTCTGTGGATAGCTGCTCAAAGGAGACCGACGAATATCGGTTGTCACTAATACCTTAATCTTGTATGAATTTGTTGCTAACACCTGATCTCATATGAACCAGCTCTCGTGATGTAGCGAACCCACTCAACAGTGTTGTAACCACTCTTCTCCCAGACCTGGAAAATGTATCACACTATGAGATTTTCCATCTCAGATGCTAAAAGGTTTCAAACCAACACTTGGTGCACATACCTTAAGGAACCAAACACGTAAACCAGAAGCAGTGAACATTGGAACCTACAGGATCAAGAAACACATCACTACATCAGATAGAGCACGGAGGGTAATGCTCAGAGAACAGTAAAACAAAGCATAACAGCATTATCAATATTCTATCACAATGACAAAGCATGAGCAGATATTATACATGACAATAGAAGGCAATGCCTCGAAACAATATTCCGATGACAAAAACTACAAAACTCAATTTCTTGTAGGACCAAGCACAGTTCATAAACAAAGAATGTATATTCAAGCTCTCTGCTACTATCCATATCCAGTTCCAAATTGCAATAGACAAAATGAAGCACAAAGAAAACAAGCGTGTTTCCCCTTCCATTGGGGTTAAGAGTATTACCTGGAATTCCATCTGGATAGGTGGTCTGTTCCATGACTTCTTTTCACCCATGGTAGAGATCAACTCCACCTCTGCGCTCATAGTTGCCTCAGTCTGTCCAGGGAATTTCCTGATCCTGTAGTTTAAGTGTGTATCAGCTAAAGTAGCTTTACTACTTGCAATGTGTGAGTGGAAAAACCGAAAAAGTTCTTAAAAGGGTAAAAGTAACTCCCAATGTACAATAGACAATGGTAACACATACTTCCACACCAGTGAATCAATCGAAGCATTGTATTTTGCTTTGCCTGACGTTGTTTGGAAACTAGTCTTAGCTGTCTACTTTGGAACTGGGACTTTAACAACGACACCAAGTGCAAACATCTTAGCACCGAAAACACTCTTGACCTATGTTAAAAAAAACGAGGTTCATGTTAGCGAAAATCGATTGTGACCCCAGGTACCCACTCATGTACATATGCTTACTTTCACATTGATCTCCATGCGTGTTCGGCCCAATTCCTTGATTGTCGGTAGAACACGGAATGGGAGGTTTACACCCTCTGTGATTCGATACCTGCAACAAATTTATCTATCAAAATTGAAAAGCCAGCAATAGTGAAATTAATAATGAGTAAGTCATTAGTGGGGACAAAACTACAAGCATAAAAGAGGAATCAGAAGGTTTATTCATCAATTCAAATTCACCATCTGGTGGCACGAAACTGACTGTCTTTTCTGAGTTAAATCTTGTTAAGTTGACACACTAGTGGAATGTTACATCATCAAGTTCTATGGTCTTCCCACTGTAGAGCAAGAGAAGACACACAATCAGTAACAAATTTAGCAGAATGACAAAGAAAAGTGCCAAAAATATTGTATTAATGAGCAAAACAACCATGATGCGCACAGATTTCCTTTTGAGATTTTTATATGGCAAATTTTGCCAAAGGACATCAAACATATGCCGTATTGGCCATTTCACACCGCAAGCGCTGAAATATGCTAGGTGCTATTATGGCATTATGAAAGTGTGGATCTTTGCTGAAGCACACTGCAATGATTATAATAATCATTTATGTGATTGTGGGAAACAGAAGTGTTAACTGACTTTTTGCCCTTGCCTTCATCTTCCTCCGGCGGCGTGGACACATCCCTCTCTCTCGTCCACCCAAACCTCCACCTTCTTGCCGCCAATCAAGAGCACAAGGAACAGGGTCAGCTCAATGTCGTAGGTCGGGAGGTTGAGTGACCCAGTGCTGCCACGAGCTGTCCGGACAGCAGCTTGATACCGCCCATGTAAATCACAGGGAACAGGATGAACGAGCTGGCAAAGTAGCAGTCCACACGACAACCTTGCCCAGTGGTGAGGTTGTGCTAGTGGACTTAGAGGCCGGGCGGGTTGGAATACCAGAACACATCATTTGAGTAGAGGAACACAAAGACTTCCAGGACTACCTGATAGGTCTTTGGCAGAATGCTTGCAAGCTTGGACCACGAATCCAACGAATTCTGGATGCGGAACCAGAAGCCGCTGCATGCCCTCTGAGATTGTACCATGCCGGTGGTTTTGGTGTTGTCTGATCAGGGTCCATGGAACCGGTAGTGGAAAAGGATCATATGTCGCCAAGGTAAGCAGGGGGCCACGGAACTCGAGGGACACGCTGACGTGGTGAATAGGTCATGGACGAGGTTCTTGAGCATGACAGAAAGCACGCTGCCGGGTAGGGACCAAAGCATGGAATAGCATGTGACCCCCTTGCGGACGGCGGTGGCCGTGGCAGTGGTGCGGAGGAGCTCGGCACTGTCGAGCTCGAGCCAGACGACCGCGATGCAATCGTACTGATCACGGTGATGGCGGTGAAGGAGAGTACAATGAGGACAAGGGCACAGGCAGCGGCTGATCCAGGAAATATTTTAGGGGCGGCTGAACAACACTGCTGCTCGATCTTAAGTCTCAGCCCCCTACACTATAGAACTTTGCCTAAAAATTCATAGGGGCTCTACAGTAATTTGCACTGCTTCGGTATGGGTAGGGGGGCTTGAGCCCCCCCCCGCCCCCATTGCTGGATCCGCCCATGGGCACAGGGAACCTGGCGAGCGGCGCGTACGCAGCCTTGGCAGTGGGGGTACCGTAGGTGTTGACGAAGGGAGTATGAGAGCAATGGCATGACATAGACAGGGTCTTGTGCTGCTGCGACGAGACAAGATGCGTCCGTGCTTCGGAGAGACAAGAGGATTGAGAGAGGGATGCGCCCACGACTCCACATCACCGGGAGGATGAAGATGAAGGCAAGGGCAAAAAAGTCATCACAACTCTTGTCGGGTTCATAAACCCGGAGTCCCCAATGGATCCGCTTTCCTGCAATACTTGGCTCAAAGAAAGGGCGCAATGACAATGAAAGCGTCTGGGACGACCCAGATACACAATGACATGACTGAGACCACGATCCGGTCGCCGACCGGCACCTCCGGCCTGGAGACCTGGTCGGAGCCCCGACCAAAGGCTGGCCGTGGTGGCACCATGATCCGACTCGACCTCGTTCCTCCAACCGATGATATGCCGGACCTTTTCTCTCCTCTCTTTCCCAACTGACACGGTCGGGGTCGACTGGGAACGACCGACCAGGACGCCTACTCGGTGTGGGCCCGGGGAGCAGGCGGAGCAGATAAGGTAAGACGCTCAAGTCAACTGCAATACCGAGGACCATACCCTGCCATGCCCTGCGCACATGCAGGACGATGCCGTCAGGCCATGTCAGACGGACACTATACAGCCTGTCAGATGCGTCAGAGCACAAACAGTATTGTGGGCGCCGTCGTTTGCCGTCCCAGGCGAACACTGTGCAGCCTGCCAGGTACAACAGATCATGAACAATAAGGTGGGCGATGGAGGCATAAACAGTATGGAGGGCAATGGCATGCCGTACCCGACGACGTGGGTGACAAGTAGGTAGCACCCATACACACTCTCTCCCTTTCCGTCTTTGACTTGTAAGGCCATCCCCTTAATCTATAAAAGGGGGTGCGCTCTCTCCTAAAAGGACACAGTCTACACGCTCTCAACAGCGGATAAGCTTGGACACACATTACCAAAGGATTTCTCATATCATCGAGTACTATACAAACAGTTTCAATGTTTGATTCATGAGTCTTTGTGGGTAGCGGCTTTGACATTATATTTGTTCACAGTACAAAATTTTGTAATAGTGAGCAACTACAAATTAGATAAACAACTGACAACTAGCATTTACATTGCCACTTGGCCACAGCACCCCTACATATTTTTATAAAAACAAATGGCATATCTTTGAGTATGTGACCATATCACAAAAAAACTCATGCTTCAGGGTGCAAAGGAAACAAACTTAGGATACTATCATGCTAGAAGTTCTGCCATTATTTCGAGTTCGAGGCCGAGCAAGCAACACAAGTAAAAAGCAGCAGTTACACATACAAGGATAAATGTGGAGGCCAAGTGTGAGGATTACCATCTACAACATCAAACATAACTATTAGTAAGGTCATTCCCAGGAACAAAGAGGCGAAATTTCCTGGACATATGAATTAAAGACTCGTTCTTTTCTTAGTATGAAACAGAACTATTAGTAAGGCCAAGTGTGATTTTTGAAACTAATTTCAATTTGAACTACGTGCATCTAATCCAATTATATTCATTGTGGGGGTATTAACCCCTATACCCTTATGGCTAGGCTTGGGCGGCCAGATCGAGGGTGGGTCCACCTAAAGACAGCGTGGCTTCGCCAACCTGTTCGGAGTTCCGCACAAGGAGTCAAGACGGATTTGGCGATCAAGCAAGATCCTGGTCGGTTAGAATAGGAATCCTTATCCGGCCACCTATGGCAATTGTAACTGGCTAGGATTAGTTTCCAGATCTGTAACCCTGCCCCCCGAACTATATAAGGCGGGCAGGGGACCCCTCTAAAAAACACCTCTCATTGACATACAACAATACAATCAGACGCAGGACGTAGGTATTACGCCTTCTTGACGGCCGAACATGGATAAAACCTCGTGTTTGTCTTGCGTCACCGTCTTGTTCGGAGCTTGCGCATCTGTCTGTCGACAATCTACTACCTTGGGCATACCCCTGGGTAGACTGCCGACCATATTTCATCGACAGTGGCACGCCAGGTAGGGGATGTGCGTACTGCTCTCCAAGCGAACAAGATGGTCATCATCCCCGGCTTCATGGCTACACCGAACGGCCTCACATTCACCATCGGTCAGATCACCTGGACCACCGGCTCCGACGACCTCGTCGCCACGATCACGGAGGAGGTGCGGATTCAATCTGCGTCGACCGCTGCTTCACCTGCATCGGCTACGGCTCCGACCACGATGGATACGGCTCCGACCATGGAAGATCTGGCTCCGACCATGGAAGATCTGGCTCTGACCATGGTGGATCTGGCTCCGACCACGGTGGATATGGCTCCGACCACGGTAGATCTGGCTCCGACCACGGTGGATTTGGCTTCGACCACGGTGGATCTGGCTCTGACCACGCTCGCATCGCTTTCAGCCACGCCGGCAACCCAT